TGGTACTGAAACCAGAGCTGCCCTGGCATGAGCCCCTCCCAGTGTGGAGGCCTGACCCTGAGCCTCGGGGGTGGTGGTTGCTGATGCCAGCACCCTGGGTGAGGCAGAGGGATGCCAGCACCTCACATGCCCAGGGCTACCAAGGACCCAGCACCTCACATGGCCTGATTTGTGTGGCAGCCAAACCAACCCTGCTGCAGCCCAGTCACAACATGCGCCCAGCTCTGGGGTGGGCAGCGGCACATCCCGCCCCATGGTTTGTAGGTCTAGGGCTGTTGTCAGAGAAGAGGTGGCAGCAAAGACAGGGCAATTGGGGCCAAGGTCGAAAAGGGACAGAACGGATGCCCCACTGCCCCCAGATTTTTCAGACCAGCTTGTGCCAGGCTGGCAGGGGGGAGGGGCAGGTTACCAAGGCTGTCACCCATGCCCTGGCCAGCTGCCGCGGTGGGTGTGGCTACGTGGCTATTCTTTTAAATATGTAAATCAGCTCATTAAACGATTGACCGAAAAGTGGCGCTGCCCAAAATGCAATTCCATGGGGTACCTGGCAGGGGGATAAGAAGGGGGCAACTAGCCCAGGCTAATGAGGCACAGCCCTCAGGAAGTCAGGAGCCAGGCTTGTGGTCAGTGTGTCTCAGGAGCGCCCAGCAGTGTGAGTTATTGTCAGTCGCTGCAGCCCATGAGCTGATCTAGGCGATTGGGCTCCCTGGCAGGCTGAGTCCTGGCAGCACCCCTGCCCCCTGCCAGAGCCCCACGTGCCAGGCCTAGCCTGGCTCTGGGGGGCCCCCTCAGCAATAGCCTACGTGCTGACCCTTCAAGCTGAGCAGCCCCAGGGAGGAGGTTGGGGGGGAGGCAGCGCTTCCCAATGGTGAAAGGCAGCTGCCTTAGCACCCGGCTCGGGGACCTGCTGGCTGTCCTGGATGGGCGTTGGAGCCAGTTCCTGCTCATGCCATTCATCCCCCTGCTTTCATCTAGGGCGCCCAGCTTCAAAAGGCCGCACCCGCTGGGGCTCTGTGGGTGCCAGGGCACGCTGGGGCTGGCTCCTGCTAACTCTGAGCGGGGTAGGCCAAACCGTGCCATGGGGAGTGGG